AAGATACAGTGAGTCAGGACAAGATACAGTGAGTCAGGACAAGATACAGTGAGTCAGAACAAGATACAGTAAGACAGAACAAGATACAGTGAGTCAGGACAAGATACAGGAGTCAGGACAAGATACAGTGAGTCAGAACAAGATACAGTGGAAGTCAGGACAAGATACAGTGAGTCAGAAGAAGTGCAGTAAGACAGAAACAAGATACAGTGAGTCAGGACAAGATACAGTGAGTCAGGACAAGATACAGTGAGTCAGAACAAGATACAGTAAGACAGAACAAGATACAGTGAGTCAGGACAAGATACAGTGAGACAGAACAAGATACAGTAAGACAGAACAAGATACAGTAAGACAGAACAAGATACAGTGAGTCAGAACAAGATACAGTAAGACAGAACAAGATACAGTGAGTCAGGACAAGATACAGTGAGTCAGGACAAGATACAGTGAGTCAGGACAAGATACAGTGAGTCAGAACAAGATACAGTAAGACAGAACAAGATACAGTGAGTCAGGACAAGATACAGTAAATCAGGACAAGATACAGTGAGTCAGAACAAGATACAGTGAGTCAGGACAAGATACAGTGAGTCAGGACAAGATCATAACAGAAACAGAAAATACAGGACAACAAGATACAGTAACAGACAAATACATAAAAAATACGACAGAACAAGATCAGTAGCAGAACAGACAGAACAAGATACAGTAGACACAGCAAAGATACAGTGAGCAGAACAAGATCAGTAACAAACAAGATCAGAGACAGAACAAGATACAATCAGAAAAGAGTCAGAACAAGATACAGTGAGACAGAACAAGATACAGTAGACAGAACAAGATACAGTGAGCAGAACAAGATACAGTGAGACAGAACAAGATCATGAGACAGAACAAGATCATGAGCAGAACAAGATCAGGGACAGGAACTAGACAGAACAAGATACAGTGAGTCAGAACAAGATACAGTAAGACAGAACAAGATACAGTGAGACAGAAAAAGATACAGTGGTCAGAAACATAGGACAGATCAGAGCAGAACAAGACAGAAGACAGAACAAGATCAGTAGACAAACAAGATAAAAGGTAACAAATACAGAGTCAACAAGATCAGTAAGACAGACAAGATTCAGTAAGACAGAACAAGATACAGTGAGACAGACAAGATACAGTGAGTCAGACAAGATACAGTGACACAGAACAAGATACAGTGAGTCAGAACAAGATACAGTAAGACAGAACAAGATACAGAGAGACAGAACAAGATACAGTAAGACAGAACAAGATTCAGTAAGACAGAAAGATACAGTGAGTCAGAACAAGATACAGTGAGTCAGAAACAAGATACAGTGAGACAGAACAAGATACAGTGAGTCAGAACAAGATACAGTAAGACAGAACAAGATATGTGAGACAGAACAAGGGACACAGAACAAGATACGTGAGACAGAACAAGATACAGTGACACAGAACAAGATACAGTGACACAGAACAAGATACAGTAAATCAGACAAGATACAGTAAGACAGAACAAGATACAGTAAATCAGGACAAGATACAGTGAGTCAGAACAAGATACAGTAAGACAGAACAAGATACAGTAAGACAGAACAAGATACAGTGAGTCAGAACAAGATACAGTGAGACAGAACAAGATACAGTGAGACAGAACAAGATACAGTGAGACAGAACAAGATACAGTGAGTCAGAACAAGATACAGTGAGTCAGAACAAGATATAGTAAGACAACAAGAACAGAGACAGAACAAGATACAGTGAATAGATACAGAACAGAACAAGACAGTAAGCAGAACAAGATACAGTAAGACAGAACAAGATACAGTGAGACAGAACAAGATACAGTGAGTCAGAACAAGATACAGTGAGACAGAACAAGATACAGTGAGACAGAACAAGATACAGGAAATAAACAAGATACAGTAAGACAGAACAAGATACAGTGAGTCAGAACAAGATACAGTAAGACAGAACAAGATACAGAGACAGAACAAGATACAGTGAGTCAGAACAAGATACAGTGAACAGACAAGATAAGAGAGTCAGGACAAGATACAGTGAGTCAGGACAAGATACAGTGAGTCAGAACAAGATACAGTAAGACAGAACAAGATACAGGAGTCAGGACAAGATACAGTGAGTCAGAACAAGATACAGTGAGTCAGAACAAGACAGTAAGACAGAACAAGATACAGTGAGACAGAACAAGATACAGTGAGTCAGAACAAGATACAGTGAGACAGAACAAGATAAGAGACAGAACAAGATACAGTGAGTCAGAACAAGATACAGTAAGACAGAACAAGATACAGTGAGTCAGAACAAGATACAGTAAGACAGAACAAGATACAGTGAGACAGAACAAGATGGAGTCAGAACAAGATACAGTGAGTCAGAACAAGATACAGTAAGACAGAACAAGATACAGTGAGTCAGAACAAGATACAGTAAGACAGAACAAGATACAGTGAGACAGAACAAGATACAGTGAGACAGAACAAGATACAGTAAGACAGAACATACAGGACAGACAAGATACAGTGAGACAGAACAAGATAGTGAGAACAAGATACAGTAAGACAGAACAAGATACAGTGAGACAGAACAAGATACAGTGAGTCAGAACAAGATACAGGAGACAGAACAAGATACAGTGAGACAGAACAAGATACAGTGAGTCAGAACAAGATACAGTAAGACAGAACAAGATACAGTGAGTCAGAACAAGAATACAGTAAGACAGAACAAGATACAGTGAGACAGAACAAGATACAGTGAGTCAGAACAAGATAGTGAGTCAGGACAAGATACAGTGAGTCAGA